ATGCACATACAGATGTGTTGTATCTGTACGAGGCCTTGATGCAGAAGCATACATTAGGTTTAAGCTCTGAAGGGTTTTTGTGACATTACCTCTAACAGGAAGCTGAACAGGAAATTCAAAAATCCGTCCTCATCTTCTTGCTCTTCATCATCATCTGTCTCCTCATCAACAGGTTTTTCGAAACTTGCAGCAAACTTAGTGACAAAATCAACGACGCTCTCGACCGCTGGCTCACGAGTGTAAATGATCATGGCATACTTCAGGCAGCGGATGAACTCCTCGTGGAATGAATTCTTGTCTTCCTGCTACAAGAAATTCAGAATTTAAGAAATGCTCACTCTTTTGTTTACATTACCAGACAAAAAACACTAAACTGCAAAACACAAGAAAATATTTAGCTTTTTAATGGCTAATGTTAAGGAAATGGGGCACTTCAGTTTTATTTTGTGTCATTAATAAGTTTAATTGAAACAGTAACATTTTAAATACCAATTCCACTGGAGCCAATATTCAAATCCTAATTGAACAAAAGGCTGGGTCCACCGGAGCAACATGGACTCACCCCAACATTAGAATCTTCAATAAACCTTAGACATGTTTTTGATCTGTGGGAAGACTATGAAAGAAAGTACAAGAAGAAGGAAACAAGCTATGCTAGAGAAAACCACTTTGGTCCTAGGGGACCAGAAATGACTATAAATAAATAATTAAATTAGAGCTGCACAATTAATTGTATTTATAATCGCAATATTTTAGTAGTGTTTTAGCAGATTTCTTTGTAAATATACTATTTACACTGTATAAAACAGCATAAGAATTGTTTTAGTAGTAGTAATTGGTGTATCTATACACACCTATATATACATACACACACCACAGATGTAACAAAGTTGATTAAAATCTATCAGAATTCAATGTAAGAGGTGATTGCCTAATATCCTCCACACTATGTGCTTGCACAGTGGTAATCAGATCTAAAACACATTATTTATCAGTGTCTTAAGTTGTAAAATGGTTTAGAGTAGACACGAAAACAACAGGAGCGTTAATGTGAGACTTCTATTTTGTAATGAGCATCTGTAATAAAGGTACCTTATCATATCTGTTCTTCAAACAGGCAACCAATTTGGCTTTGTTACTGTGAGCTTTCTGGGCCCGACGGAAAACCTCTTCAATCTCCAGATCAGCATCTCCAGACATGTTAATATTACTAGCAGACAAAAGAAAAACATATCAAACCTCACGTTTTCATCAAAAGCTACTGACCTTGAATTGCGATTAATGTAAGTTGTCACAAACAAAGCAAATGTAAATAGAAATCGGCAAGAAGCAACTGCATAACATATATTTTAGTAAACGATTAGTTGTTAATAACACGATAAGCACAGGACACAATTAATAACCATTGGTAGCAGACCAGATCGCCGTTATTTCACCAAGACGGAACCAAGATGTTATCGTTAACTTACTTGATCTGTTCTCGACCCATCCGATCTAACGTTAAATAAAGTTGAAAAGTACGATTATTGTCACCCCACAACATACTACATCAATCAGTTTCATTATATTCTTTAATCTTATAGACAAAAGTTACAGTGCGAGTCGATCCAAATAAAATGTGGCGTTGACGTTAGCTCTTGCTGTTAGCTACAACACAAACAAGCCCCACCAAGTTCATTTTTCCCAAATTATACTTTTAACACAGTAGTACCTTCGATAAAAGGTAACAATTGCAATGGAAAAATTATAATTAATTTAATATTCAGGGGAAAACACTTTAGCTTGATACATACCCGCAGATTTTGATTCTTTACAGAACGGTAGTAGCGCCACTTTTCAAATAAAGTTCTCGCGAGAGTACACATAGAACCGCCCATTTCCGCTTCTAGGCTCTGTAAAGGGGGCAGGAAAATAAATGAACGATGTAAAAAATAACAAAGAGAACCAAACATTAAGCTTAAAAATAGACATTCTTTTGGTAAAATTTCCAAATAACAAAATTGTCTCGTAATTTTGATGGTAAAAGGTAAAAAAATGAATTTGGGGAATTAACTGAAACACACAAAGGCATATAAGAAAACTGTTGAAATTTTAATTAACAAGATTTTCATCCAAATGAGTGTACGTAATACACAAAGTAAGGAAAGAATATATATATACAAGAACCTGTTTGAGTTGAAAGGTCAGTATGATGCCCTATGACGAAACAAACGAAATGACTGAAAATGAGATGACTGACCCATTAAAAGTTCATTTCATTTGAACAGAACGTGGAGTGACATTTCACAGCGTTTCACTCACACAAACTACCAACTATCCACAGAGCAGCGCACAGCATAAAACACCTGCGAGTCACACGCAATGCCAGACTCCCAAAAACTGAAAGAAACAGATACCACATTTGGTGTCCAGTTCATGTTTAGTTCAATGCCACTACAATGATCACTTATAGCTTCTGTTCAGCAAAGATTCAATTTGTGGCTTCAAAAGATTTAAGTATAACTGGCAGAGTACTTCTCTCCAAAGCCGAAGGATTTATTAAACAAGTTTACGTTAATTCAACACTTGATATTTAAAAAACGGCCTGTAATAAAATAGATAAGATTTTGTTTGATTTCATTTGGAAAAAAGAATTTTACAAGAAACGCACCGAGCCATTTTTTAATTTTCACAATGTGCGTAAAACGCTGTGATTGGCTCGTTTGGTCACGTGTGTTCAGCCGGGACAGGCAGCAATAGACGGCGCTCGAGAACAAAACGAGGAGCTGTACTCCCACAGGAGCAGAAGAAGAGATTACAGAGGCTGTCTGGAGAAGCATCCAGTCGTTGCTGAATTTACACAGCACAAGAGGATTTCACGATTTTGGGCATAAACTCAAAATCGTGCGCTTGAAACCAGCTTTAATAAGAAGTGGTTTGTTTAATAAGAACTCGCCTCAAATTGCTTCTGCGCCATCGTGTGGCATGGAGTGAATTACAGTTCAACAAAGTGCCATTTACGGTAGTGTTCAGGAGAGTGTCTGTACCCTAATCATTTAATGCAAAAGAAAGACGTAGCGAGCTCATAATGCAGACGCAAAAATAAACGCATAGGTGTGTAAAGGCATTTTCGGAAGATCAACAAAGTGCCTAATGTGTGATTTAATGTGCTGGATTTTAACTCTTTACACTCAATCATTAAAATGAAGTGGATCAAGCAATACCCGGAACACCTCAATACACTGTGGAACTTTAGACTTTTAAGGTGCAATTATATAATTATAAAACTTCCTGCAAAACTTTCCAACTTTCATAAACAACTACTTCTATCCTGGTCATTAGTTTACAAGCATCATTTTTCTCCAAATAAATGCTACATGTGGAATAACAGATCATTTGTTTCACAAACTATGGTGTTTCCCACACCTAGTGAGGCGTAAAGTATTGCAGTTGAGGGGCAGAGGACAATGGGGTTTCATTCATTCTGAAGTATTCTTTTTGCTTCTAAATTCTATAGTTCTGAATGCTTCAAAGCACTTCAAATTCAATCAACCACCTCACCCATCTGACAAAATTAAACACGCTCAAATAAATTAGCAATTGTAATACTCTTTGTAAACAGAACCGAGACCTGGAACCAAAGAGTGGGAATGTTGACTTGTTGACAGTGGAACAAAACAAATTGAAGTAGCCGCATTATCAGTAATTACATCTAGAAAATGGACAAATAACCCTCTGAAGTCCCAAAAACACAACGGTGTGTGTGGCCATTATTGCATCTATTTTGAATTTAGTACGAATGACACAATCCACTTATTGTTTACATCTGACTTCAAATATAATGTCTGCAATGGACTGGTGACCTGTCCGCAAAAGGAGAAAAAGCGGGTTGGAAAATGAATTAATGAATATAATGTGTACGTTTCAAAATGTTTATTAGTCTTGATATTTTTTTTCTCTTTACGAACACTACAAGAGTTATGACGCATAATTTGCAAGGTAATTCATATTTAAATGAGATAAAAAGTGCATGTGTGTGCCATCTAGTGGTGAAAAGAAGGGGTAACACTCAAAAATACAAGACCTGTTTTTAGGGCTCTATTTTATTTAATTATTATTATTATTATTATTTATTTTTTCTAAATTCCTGCACAAAACAAAGCACAATGAAACAAAAAGTGCTTGGGACAGCATATACGGTTTAGGAGAGAATGTGACACAAATATATATATATATATAAAAAAAAAATCACCATTCTTTCAGTATACATTTGTTTTCCCTTTTTTATCAGTAAAAGTGAACCAGTGAGACATCAGATGGTGTTTATCCATTTATTCCTATAACTAGGAAGAGAGAAAAGCACATGAAACAGCCTCACCAACCTCTCCTCTTTGGTCTGTCGACTCTCGCACTGATTACAAAAAGAGCAGAGGAGACAAGTATAAGGAAATTAAATAAGAAACAACTAACATATTAAGAAATATAGCCCACTTGACAGTAGGAAGAGAGAAAAAGCACATGAAATGGCCTCATCAACCTCTCCTCTTTGCTCTGTCTACACAAAGAAGTACACATATACCACAGAGATTACTCACTGAAAGTGTCTATATTATAGAAAGAATAAAAAAAGATAACGGAACTCAGATAACAGCTACCTCTCGCACTGATGGCAATTACCAAAAGGGCAGAAGACGCGGGAAAACAGGAACTTCCCCAGAAAGAAAATCAGTAAGCCCTTGAAAGACACCCACTTCAACAAACCAATGGGATGTGAAAGAAATGTGAAAGTGACATTAGGACCAAGTATGGAGTGACCCATACAAGGAATTTTTGCTCTGCATTTAACCCATCCATATGCACCCTCACAGCAGTGAATAAACACACCATGAACACACACCGGGAGCAGTGGGCAGCCTTGGCTGTGGTGCCCAGGGAGCTGTGGTAACTGGTGACATGCTCAAGGTCACCACAGTAATGGCTGTCACAGAGGGAGTTTCAACACTCATCCCACCTTCGACTCCAAGTGGAGGTGGGGATCGAACCGGCGACCTTTTGATCTCCAGTCAATCACCTTTATCCATTAGGCCATACTGCCACAAATTGGATGTAATACTAGATATATTTTCTGTATAATTCTATATTAACACGGGACTAATGTTTTTTTCTATACCCATTACATCGATAAAAGCAGGTGGGGATTGGGTTTACTGCCAGGTTTGAGAAACACTGCTGTAATGCAACCTTTTCTCCTCCTTAGCAGTCTCTTCTGATTTTATAACTCTCTCTAATTTAACTCAAGCATGTAATTTATTTTAGTGTATTTTATTTTACTCTGAATTCGTACTGATGTTGCAACAGGAGTTTGTGAAAGAATTACTATTTCTTTAACCTGTTGTAAAATGTACATTGTTAATGAAGCATTGAAAAAAGTGAATCAGAGGGAACTTTCTCTTGTTTGTATATGTTTAGTTGACTTATCTGTATTCTCTTTATTTATTTTAATGATTAATGCTCTTGCCTGTATTTGGTGTATCTTGAAATATTGTGCAAATAAAAAAAGCAACTACAAAAACTTAACACCGTCAAATGTGGAAACTAAATTTACCAGTAGATGGCAGGCTAAGTTCAGCTAACACATTTTGCACGTACAATGCTCAGGCAACATACACAAGTAAAGTGTTTATTTAAGTAAAATGTGAAATGTAAAAAAATCCATAAAGGAAAATACAATGCAGTTAACAGAAAGCTGTTCGCATCATAAATTGTGCTTCGCTATAGTCCGACTGGTGCACGTTAAGTCTGTAACATTTTCTTCTCCTCTTAATGCAATTTTTAAGTTAGAAACTGAATGTGAAAAATTCTACAATAATACCATTGTTGCCTGTTTAAACTTGGTTAATTCCTAACTGGAAATGAGTTGACGAAATCAACGTGAAGATGCTCTTTCAATGCTCATTTGCTAATTGGAAGTTTTTTTTTTCTTTAATTTACGACCCCTTTTATGTGTTAAATTCTCTTTTACAACATTGGATTAATTTTGTGTCACTAAATGACTATCATGGTCACTATGTGCTACATGTAGCCGGACCCAAAGCCACCCAGGAATAACATTCTGGGAACTGCCAACAACCTCAAGAACTGCTCAAAGGCATGGATTCAATTCAAACAATCTTTATTACATTAAAAAGTGTGTATCTGCCCTGGATTTAAAGAAGGTTCACGCTCTGTACTGATGTCCACAATCAATTTATTGCTCCAATTAAAGTTCTGGAACACCGTGAAAACTAAACTAAATAAACACTTTAGTAACAACATTACATTAACAAAATTCACAATGACTGTTTCTTTACCGTGTGCGCCACATATAACCAGTGGTAGATACGTTTTTTGAAGAGAATAATGTCCGTTTCTCTGTAGTCCTTAGGTGCGCTCGAGCTCCTGCAGCGCTGTGCGAAAGCGGCATGTGGAAAAGCTTCAAGAAGCCCTGACAGCTGCTGAACAGCGAGTGAAAGAAGCAAACTCCCTCCAACGCGACCTCGAGAGTAGACTCAAGTCCACAGAACAGCAACTGGAAGTTGCCCAGAAGATCCTTGAACACAAGGATGCTGACATCAAAGCCCTCAAAGAAAACCTGAACAACCATGAAACTGAAATCAACATCCTGAACCAACAACTGGATGATGCCACGACGAGCTCAACTTCATCAAGGCTGAACTCCGGCATCCCCTTAAACCTGAACGAGAGCCAAGAAATGCAAGGAGTCCCTCAGCATCACTCCTGATGAGTCAAGCAAGGTCCTACAACCACAACCTGCCTTGCAACGACAGAAGAGAATGGTCAACTCCCATATGCTCTCCAGCCTTCAGCACAGAACCACATACTGTGAACCTGCAGAGCAAACCTATTCCATATGGTCCTGAACAAGGAATGGACCTCAAAGACCTCGACAAGCTTGCAAAGAACATCACCAAGTTTGACCCAAGCTGCCCTGAAAGCCAAGACATCAAGGCCTTCCTGAAAGACATCGAATTTCACCTGGAGATGAGACCCCAAGTGACCGACAGAGATCGACGGTACCTCCTGAGAACCACGTCCAGTCCAGAGGTGCGAAAGTTCCTTGATCGACAGCAAAGTCAAGTCAAACTGAACTACCAGCTGCTCCGTGATGCCCTGATCAGAGAGTTCTCCAACCCAGAGTCTGAACAAGGACTCTCGGCTGCCTTAGAAATAAAACAAGGCCGCAAAGAGACTCCCCAGTCCTACCTCAACCGCCTCAGACAAGCTTACTTCGACGACCCGGATGAACCTTATCTGGAAGAGGATGTGAACTTCAAGATCCTGTTCCTGAGAAACCTGCATCCAATGGTGAGCCATCACCTTGACATCATGGCATGTCCTCGTAAGATGACCATCCAACAGCTACGTGACCTGACGAACAAAGCCTTCATTAAACAGAAGATGGCCTCAAAGAAACAGTCAGCAATGCCAGACTCTAATCAAGACTCAAGCGTCACCCTGGAAGACAATCGGTGGCATGAAGATCCCAAAATGCTCCATCAAGAACCAAGAGAGCAAAAGATCCCTGTCAGTCATCCATCCAGCCCATGGGACAAGACCCAGTCACAACCTCGTCCCTCTGAACCTCATCATGACCAGCCCTGGAACCAACGATCCTACGCTGGAGGACACAAGGGAAGGAACTCCTGGAACTCAAACTGGACCCCAAGAGAGAGTACTAGAGACCAGCGAAGACACTCCGACCGTCATCAGCCAGAGACAACCAGAAGCAAAGCAGAGCACCATCAAGCACCTGCTCCCAAAGCAGACTCACAAGAGATTGTCCAGCTTCTGATGAAAGAGTTTCTCAAAGCAACAAATGAGAAACAAGACAAAGCAGACTACTGACCAGAACAGCAGAACGAAGACTTCCTGGTACCCCACTCAACAAACGCTGTGGCTTCAAGTACACAAAGAAACCAGAGTCAAGCTCGCCAAGAAACGCCAAAAAACCACAATACCCTCTTCAACTACACTCAAACAAACCCACTAATGAGTGTGAACCAACACAAAGTTTCAGAAGACAAAGACAAGCCATGGTCCCTATTACAAAGTTTGGGACAGAACACTGACCCCCATCTGGTATCACCTGCTGACGATGATGATGACTACCACAATGATGAAGAGGATGACCACAACAATGACGAAGAGGATGAAAGTCCCTCACAGCTGAACACTGATAAAGACTCCCTGTATCCCGAGAACACCATCTTGGTCCCACAACACATACCAAGATCCCATCAAGCAAAAGAACACCTGCAGTGCTTGTCAAACACAACCCAGACAAAGCACAGAAGACCACAAAGAACAAGCTTGCCCCAAAGCTTCACACCGCCATGTCAGACATGCTTCAGAATCTGCCAAGAAGACAGTTCTGTCCAAACCCCTCAGAAGATAGCCAAACTATCACTAAAGACAACGACGAAAGAAACCCACCAGGAAAGGGGGGAGCCTAATCTGACTGATATAGATCTGAACATGCATACTCCACTCTCTTACACACCTGGCCGTAACTTCACACAAATACATGTACAGACATTTAGATGCACTGAACCTGACTTCAAGCCCTTCTCCTAGGATAGTGTAGACACACTTCTATTTGAGAACATTCACTTCTATCACCAAGGTAGAACACCTTTTTTAGAAAACACCCAATGCCATAGTTAATCAACATTAGTTGTTAACTTAGTAAGATGCCTTAAGATTTTTTTAACCTTCAGTTTAATCTCCTTTTACTCTATTTTTTATAATTATTATTACTACTCTTTATTCTTTCTTAGGCCTGCAACAACAATAAGGATTGCTGATATTAGGAATGACAAGTCACACCTAATATCCCAAAGCCAAACTTATCATAATGCTCAACCAAGAGCCTTTATACTATGATACATTTAAATAATACTCAATCCTTTGTGTTTTATTTCCCATTTTCGAATTAAATGGAACTTTAACTTTAAATTACCTGACACTGAATAACAAGCTTTGATATTAAAATACTTCGTACTTAATCAAAAAATAAAGTACCTCTAGTTACTGCAAGTAACCTACTTCTAACAGTCTTTATACGCACCAGTATTGTGAACTGTCATGGAAATGTTAACTTGTTGTCTGCACCTGGATGTTGCCTGCTCACTGCTTAATTACTTTTAACAACTTCTTTTAGGAGAAAAAGTCTCAATCTACTTGAATATAACCTTACAATGCTTCGTTAATCCTTACTGTATAACTGATAATGTGTGCTTAGACTTGACTAGTTAACAAAGATGAATGAATGAGTGAGTACAAGTGTTAAACTAGCCATGTTTGGTATCATTCTGCTTGAAATACCAGATCTGAAACAATGGCCTCTCATAGAAATGTACCAACTATTCTCTTTATTAGATATGATCACTTATATGAACTGATGCAGATCATCAGGTCTGTTCCAGCCCCTGCGCTCAGTTTGTAACGTCACCACAGCTCCTGTTTCAGAGTAATCTCATTGGTTAAACCTGGCGAGGTGGAGCCTCACCTTCTTGGTTCAAATTTTGCAGCACAGCTGACTGCATGAGAGTTGGGAACCGGAAACGCAAGGAACTCCAGAAACAGAAGAAGAACAAAGCTTTCCTAGCCGCTTCCAGCAACAAAAGACAAAGGAGCCAAACACGTGCTCCATGGAGAAGACACGAGTCACCTCCACACAAGCTTTTCTTAGGCGCGGAAGAAGTTTCGCATAGTTTCTCAAAGTTCTAAAGACTTTCAACCAGAGCGACACTTTTACTCGTTTTCATTCCTTTCCGTTAAAGTTCAATGTTGTAAGCGACCGACTTTCTTCATCGAACAATTTCTTCACGAAGGACATCTGAAGCAAGACACGGGACATCGAATCACTTTCAGCGCAAGTAACATTCTTCCAGAATCGGTTACTTTACTGGTGCATTGTTCTAGTCTAATTAGCTTTGTCTAATAACTCAATGCAAAGTTGAAATTAATGCCTGATTGATGGTTCTTAAGTCAACTCCTTGCTAAATGTCTGAAACCCAGAATACACTCTCTCTC